TCGGACTACATGAGATTGATCCAGTCTAGGAGAGAAACAGAGCCAGGCAGTGGTGGCTCACACCTTTAATCCCAGTACTTGGGAGTCATGGGCCTTTAATCCCAGCACTTGAGATCTCATACTATTGCTACCAGTATTTGGGAAGCACACACGCCATTAATCCCAGCATAGGAAGGAAGTGAAATGGCTGGGTGGAGAAAGGCATATAGGGTGTGAGGAGACAGGAAACTTAGGCTTTTTGGCTGAGGACTCAGTGGCATTCAGTCTGAGGATTCATGGAGATGGAATCTATTGGCTGAGGAGTTGGCGAGGTGAGAAGTAGCTGTGGCTTGTTCCTTTGTCTCTCTGATCTTTCAGCATTTACCCCAATATCTGGCTCAGGGTTTTTATTATAAGACCATTTAGGATTCATGCAACACATGCAGGCAAAACACCAATGCATGTGAAATAAAATAAATAAATTTTAAAAAGAAAGAAAGAAAAAGCATCCTAGGCCAGGCATGGTGGTTCATGCCTTTAATCTCCATATTTGGGAGGCAGAAGTAGGACCATCTCTATGAGTCTGAGGCCAGCCTGGTCTACATATTTCAGGACCACTGGGACTACATAGAAAGGCCTGTCTCAAAAAAAAAAAAAAAAAAAGAAAAAGAAAAAGTACTCTTAATTCCCAATCTAGGCTTAAGAAAATTATAGAAGATTCTAGAAATACTTGTAGGTATGAGCCTTAGGCTCATTGGTGAGAACTTTGAAGAGTTGAGTCACTGAGCCATTATCTGTATGTGAAAGAGTTGAAGTCTATGATTCATCTGTGAGTTTCATCTGCTGTACAGTTAGCCTGTCACTCATCACAGGACAGATATGAGCTACGGACAAATGAGCACAGCATTTGTCCTGTGTTCGATTTTCTATAATCACAGGAAAGGAAAGGGAAAGGGGGAGAGGGAGGGGAGGAGGAGGGAGAGGGGAGGGGAGGGAAGGGAAGGGAATATGTGGGCCTATCTTTTCTTCTCTCCTTTCTTCCTCTACCCTTCCTTCTAGAAGTAAGGCAATTATGAGATTCAACCCAGGATCTTCCTTGTTAAGCACATGCTCTACCACTACACTACACTCAAAGCTGCCCTTCTGCATTTACTCAGTGAGGAAAGAGAGCCAGGCATGGCTACACCCACCCATAATTCCAACACTCAGGAGGCTGAGAAAGAAGACTGCGAATGCCATAGGTTGTGGTAGCACATGTGGGTAAGATATAAAGAGGGAGAAGTGGAGGCAGGAGGATCATGAAGTGTGGGTATGTCTCAAGACTAACCAAAAAGGGGGGGAGTAACAGAATAATATGATTTATCTGTAGATTATCTTTTAACATACTTGCTATCAAATTAATCCATTTCTGCATCTTTTTTACGTTAGTATAAAACGAAAGCCTGAACTAGGCGGTGGTGGCGCACGCCTTTAATCCCAGCACTTGGGAGGCAGAGCCAGGCAGATCTCTGTGAGTTCGAGGCCAGTCTGGTCTACAGAGCGAGATCCAGGACAAGCACCAAACTACATCGAAAAACTCTGTCTTGAAAAACCCCAAAAGACAAAAAAACAAAAAATAAAAGAAAGTCTGAGTTAAAGGAGCTTTTTCTCCTATATTTATTGAGTTCTGTGAAATAAATCTAGCACTCTTAAATAAGGACAAGGACAAAAAGACTAAGATGACAAAGTGAACAACAGTGTGTAAGTAAAAGCCAAGAAACAAGTTTGTTTTTTCAAGTTTTCTTAAGGTTAACAAAACCAAAGTAGTTGATCCATAAGTCAATATTAGCAACTTCTTATTTTTGTCTTCTAGTTCATAATGATGATAGTCTTAAAAAAGACCACTGAAACATATTTCACGTGTATTATCTGATCCTCACAAAAAAATATTCTCAGAGTAAACGAAACATCTATTTTTTGATAGCTGGGAAAGAAAAAAACAAAAAATGTAACTCCAATTAAATGACTTTTCTAAAGACAGTCAGCCATGAGCAGCAGCAGTTTTTAAAAGCACAGTCCCCATTTTTCTCAGCTTCATGTAGTGTGTCAATAAACATGTCAGAAACCCAGGAACCAGTGCTAGTTTGTGGTGATATATTGTATACCCTAATAAAATTTGCCTGAAGATCATAGAACAGAACAAGCCACTAGATTAAACATAGAGGCCAGGCAGTGGTGGCACACACCTTTAATCCTAGCACTTGGGGAAGCAGAGATCAGTTTGGATCTCTGTGAGTTCAAAGCCACCCTGGACTACATGAGATTGACTCAGTCTAGGAGAGAAACAGAGCCAGGCAGTGGTGGCGCACACCTTTAATCCCAGTACTGGGAAGCACACACGCCTTTAATGGCTGGATGGAGAAAGGTATATAAGTGTCCCTTTCGGCTAGAAAACCTTTTCAGGCTGAGGAGTTGGTGAGGTAAGAGGTAGTAGCTGTGGCTTGTTCCTTTGTCTCTCTGATCTTTCAGCATTTACCCCGATATCTGGCTCCGGGATTTTTTTTAAAGACCATTTGGTGATTCATGTTGCACTAGTTTGGGCACCACGGCCATCAGAAGACCCTGACCCCTCCAGAGCACCCACCCTCTTCTCTGTCAATATCTGAGGTTTATATATCGTCAAAGGCTGCAAGTGGCTCCTCTGTGTTCTCTTAGAGCCCATCTCCCCTTCCTCACACCCCAAGCTTGAGTTTCCCTTCTGTAGGGCAAACGGCAGGAATAAGCACTGGAAGAGCACAGAGCGAAGGGGCTGCCTCCCTCTTGCTCTAGCTCCCATGACCTCTAACCCACCGCATCTGACACCCCTCCCACTGACTCAGCACTCCACACATCCAGGAAACCTTTCTTGTACGAAATGGGAATGAGGTGTTCTGACTCAGTATGTCACAAGGTTGGTCCAGCTGGTCAGACTGCACTCCTATTCTTCCTTGTAGCCCAGTGAGTGCCTCTCCCAAAGCCACACACAATTGATAACCTTTTCACAAAACAAAGGAAGGCCCTCAGCAAAGGGAATAAAGGACGACGGACGGTAGGACATCTACCTAGAAACTCACTGTGAGCACACCTACAGAAGGGCTGTCTGTTGACCAAGCTGTCAGGTCAGAGCTCCCCACAGGGAAAATGTTTAAGAAAGTGGGTGGGCTATCCTGACAAACTCTTTAAAAACTGGGACAAGGGGTATGATTCAGTAAATAATACGCTTGTCCAACATGAGTGATCCCTACATTCTGTAGGTTAGTGAAATGAGATCACGACAAACCCTGAACTCACTAATAGTACTCTGAGGTAAAGTCCATCACAGTGGCTACAAAATCTTGAAAGGAGTTCCAAATTTACCCTGAGATGAACTTGAATAGTTGTTATATCTAATCCACTTATATCCCCTTGAAAATGTGCCTATCAGGATGGGTAAGAGGCCAGGGGTTGACTGGCTCAGTGTTAGAACATACACTAAGCATTACATACATCGATCAACAGAGACAAGACAAAATATAATAAATCTTAGTCACAGACTTCTGTAAACTACCATACAGAGAGACCTGGAGAATCACAGCATAAACGTAAGGTGTGGTTAGAGATGACCCGAGGGGGGAAGGCAAACAAAAACAAACAAACAAACAAACAGCTCTCCTTGCTCCTAGAGACTTAAAGCAAAAAGGTGTGACAGAACTGGAGACCTCACCTAAGTCTGCATGGAGTGTCACAGTGTGAACGTTTAAAAACTAGTCACACAGCAACAACCGACCAATCTTAATATTGATGTGTTTATAGTTCTAATAACTAATTACCAATAACTAATCAAGCTCACTGCATCCTCCTTCCAATAAACACCAAAGGTAGAAAATGACAATGTCTATCAATATCTTTCCTTAGGTCACATTTAAAAAAAAACACTCTGGTATTACGGCTGGATTCTGTCTGGTAGCAGCTTTCTGTTAAGGTCCTATGCATTGGTCAACTGTATTTTCCCATTCTGTGAGCTAGCCCCAGGGAGAGCCAGTCTGCAACAGGTAAGCCAAGGATGAACAGTTTGTTTTCATTCCCTGAGACAGATGCACCTGCCACACTGCTCTTTCTCAGGGAGAGCAGTCATTCCCATGTGCTTTACAAAATTATCCAGTTGCTTAGCATTTATATATTGAAACTTTTTCCAAGCACAAAAAACAAACAAAAATCACACACACACAAATACACAAGTAAGTAAGTTTTAAAAGTCTAGCCAGGCAGTGAGGGTACACGACTTTAATCCCAGCACTTGGGAGGCAGAGGCAGGCAGATTTCTGTGAGATCCAAGCCAGCCTGGTCTACAGAGGAGTTCCAGGACAGGCTCCAAAGCTACACAGAGAAACCCTGTATCAAAAAATAACAACAACAACAAACAAAAAAAGTCTACCTAATAATTAGAGGAAATAGTCCGCATAATTTGTTCCTCATTTTATTATTCACATGCCCAAGAAGGTGAGCTTATCTGGAGTCTCTCTCAAGTGTTTACGGTAAGAGTCTGACACGGTGATGCTGGTCTGGCTCTGGCCACAAGGTAAGAATTCATAATAGCTGAGCTGTGGATCACACAGTGTTTACACAGCAGGAACACAGAAAATCATCAGACTTGACAAGCAAGTGGCTCTGAGCTAGCCATATGTGATATTTCCAGCTAATAAAATACCAAGAGGCATTTTAGCCAGGTCAGATGACACTGACCAAGCCAGGTGTGATGGTTCACACCTATAATTCCAGTACTAGGGAAGCTGAAGCATGGGACTGCTTCAAACTTGAGGCTTCATAGTGAGACCCGGCTTCAAAATCAAACAAACAGAAAACAAAGCAAACACCACTGACTAATTTAATGTGGAGGAATAACAGTATTCAAGATCAATGGAACCATTAATCAAAAGCTGTAATTCACTTTACACACCAGTTGTGATACTGCTTTCATACAACAAAGTAACAGACCAAGTCCTTTCCACTGTACCCAGACTCACCTGCAAGCAGGTGAACAGAGTTGAAGCTCTTCTCCAGTTTACCCAGAAGTACAGTGAGAAAGCAGTCTGACGATAGAGAAGCAACATCTTGGGAACTCTGATCATAAACTACCACCTTCTGGTTGCAGTCAATGTCAACCTAAAACGCAAATATGAAGCTTGTTAAGAAGGAAGGTGAGAGGCTGGCATGGCGGTGCACACCTGTCGTCCAGCACTTGAGAGGTGGAAGGGAAGAACCAGGAGTCAAGGTCATGCTTACCTAAGACAAAGTCAAAGCCCATTTGGGCTACTTGTGACCCTGGCTCAAAAAGGGATTGGGGGGTGGAGGATGATTTGAGAAAAATAATCTAATAAGCCATTGGCTTTGTAGAAACTCACATTTTACTGGTTTTGAAACAATTAACAGCTTCTTATTTTCCATTATTAACTTGAATAAAATGAGATTCAATCAATTTACTGGGTAAAATTAGCATAGAAGTGGTTAAGTGCTAGTAAAAAATGATTTTTTTCGGCCGGACCTGGTGGCGTAGGCCTTTAATCCCAGCACTTGGGAGGCAGAGCCAGGAGAATCTCTGTGAGTTCAAGGCCAGCCTGATTTACAGAGTGAGATCCAGGACAGGCACCAAAACTACACAGAGAAACCCTTTCTAAAAAAAAAAAAAAAAATGATTTTTTTCAAAGGCAAAATTGGTGCTACTTTTATGATGTCCTGAAAACTTGACAAAAGGGTAAAGTTGACAAACAATATAATTTGCAAAATAAAAATAACAATCCTTCACCTAAAGAAACATTTATTAAAATAGTTCCTACAGGAGACTGACAACTTGAGTTCGGTCCTCAGCACCCATATAAAAATTTGAGCATAATGTCTCGTGTGTGTGTGTGTGTGTGTGTGTGTGTGTGTGTGTGTGTTTTCTTCTGGCCTCTGTGTATTCACGTGCGCGCGCGCACACACACACACACACACACACACACACACACACACACACACGGTTCCTATGTAACAAGAAAAATCTATTAAAAGATGCTATTTATTAAAAGATACACTTATCAGGAGGTCAAGACCATCCTTAACTACATAGCAAATTTGAGAACAATCTGAGCCATATAAGACCTTGTCTCAGAAAAACAAAAGGAAAGGGGGAAGGAACAGCCTTCCCTAACATGTGCACAATACTTCATTATCCCAAGAGTAATTATTTCCTTAACATAATGTCTTAACTAATATTACTACATATAAATGTTACTTTCACTTCTAATAATTAGTTCTTACTTTCAAAGCACTTGAAAAGAATGACTTTCAGTGGATTTGGAGAAAAGACAAAATGTTGTTTAAATTGATAAGACAACTTCATTGAGACATTAATACATAAATAAACACAGTACTATTTTTCCTTCCCTGACATTTTTGAGACAGGATCTAGCTCTGCAGCCCAGGCTTACCTTGAACTTGGAGTGGTCCTCTCCCGCAGCCTCCCATGTTAGATTACAGATAGGCATAAACCACAATGCCTGACTTAGTTTAAAATATTCTTTTTTTTTTTTTTTTTTTTTTTTTTTGGTTTTTCGAGACAGGGTTTCTCTGTGTAGCTTTGCGCCTTTCCTGGAACTCACTTGGTAGTCCAGGCTGGCCTCGAACTCACAGAGATCCGCCTGGCTCTGCCTCCCGAGTGCTGGGATTAAAGGCGTGCGCCACCACCGCCCGGCAAAATATTCTTAATGTGACAGTGTGATTGTTAATTTATTTTTAGATATGGCAAAACTGCCAGAATCTAAAAAGCAACCAAAACTTCCTCAAATTACTTTCTGTACTTTAAAATGAAGTTTCAATTAAAATATTTCCTCAGTGTGTCCACTTACTTTAAAAAGTGTAGTGGATCTATGTTCTATCTATGACCTTGAAACACGCCCCTAGAAATGTAGCAGGTAACTGTCCTACCTACCTATGACCTTGAAGTACCTGCCCCTGGGGTGTGGCCTCGGGCTACCCTTAAGACCTGAGACACACTTAGGCCTCATTCTTCTCTCCCTTGTGGGCTTGGACGCTGGGACAGACTTAGGCGGAAGAACAGCGTGGGACTGTACCTCGGCCTTCCAGGACCCCACGATAAGTCTTCTACTCTGTAGTAAGTCTTCCTTCCTAATAAATCCCTTTACCTTTTAAGTAGACTGACTCTGTGGATTTCTCAAAGTAAGAAAGCCATGAAAGATTTTACCTTGTGTCTTGCAGAATGCTGGATAAGTTCTGTGATTAATACTTTGTCCTGTTGCAACCTTCGCTTCATCAGCTTGGAGCAGTTGATATTAATGGCTTCCAAAATGTGGCATGTATTATAGTCCACAAATGGCCGGCTATCAATTAGCAGCACTTTTTCCGTTCCACTTTCCAGCAGAGCCACCAGCCTCTCAGTAACAATTTGAGTTCCAATCATCTCATGGGCCATGACAACAATAAGTCCTCTTTTCCCACCTCGTTCTTTAATTTGCCCCGATGATGTAATGGTGGTGTGCTCAAAGGCTCAGCCACTCCATTGTACTAAAAATGTATGAGGTCAGGCTAGTGGTGACTGGCAAAAGGAGAGTTAAACCCATTTCAGCAAGAGCTCTCCAACTGAATGTCTCTTTCTCTTTCCTGTTGACGTGCTCTTGCAAAGGACTCCTTCCACAAAGCAGTCCCTCACATTTGATTCATAAAGAGAGGATGGGAATAACCATCCACAACAAAAGATGCTTTGGGGCAGCCAGGGCATTACATCATCCTTTACCTTTGCTCCCTCACTCCAACAGCTTTGCACTGGACTGACAACCTGTATGAAGAGAGAAAGACAGAAAACAAAACATGGGGTCAGAAAAATAAGAATGAGTACCAGATTAGAGAGCGTATGATTCATAATATTTACTTCATTAATCTAATTCCATACTTAATGCACTGTTTCATTTGAATAAATGAAGATTAAGTAGACATGGCTTCAGGAGGGGGAAAGTGGTATACTATTAAATAAGTTAACCTCAAAATGTAAAATCTTCAAGAAAACAAAACATAGCTTTCATAATTATAATCACCTGAGATCCTAATGATCTAAATGATTTGTATGAAATTAAAGGGGCTAGAAAAGGCAGCTCAACGTATTAGTATTCCAAATGGTTTTCTTTCATTTTACTTATTTATTCCTTGATACAATACACAGACCAATAGCAAAGAATCAGGTTTGTAATTCCATATTATTAGGAAAGAAAAAAAAACCAAACTTTTTTCTCCTGGCTTAAGAATTACTGTGATGAGCAGACAGGTGCCCCTTGAGAAGGATCAAGAAAACAAGGTTCCACAATTTCAGTTACCTTTTAAGAAGAAAAGGGACAAAAAAAAAAAAAAAAAAAAACAGTTGATTTGCTTGTCAACAGGACTACAGAAGGCCTGTGATGTACACAGCTCTATGGCCATGACCTTGGCCCATCTCCTTCCAGAGCCCATCTCTCCACCTCAAGTTCCCTGACCTGTCATAGATTTCCCTTCAGTTTTCACACCACATTCTCAGGAGAATCACTGACTTCTACCTTAGAAAATCTCACCGCTGTGGTGGTTTGACAGAAAATGGTCCACACAGGGAGTGGCACTACTAGGGTCTGTGTCACTGTGGGGGTGGCTTTGAGGTCTCTTATGCTGAAGCCACGCCCAGTGTGTCACACAGTTGCTTCTCCTCCCTGAGGATCAAGACGTAGAACTCTCAGCTCCTTCTCAGCATCATGCAGGAGGCCATGGCCCACCATGATGGCAATGGACCAAACCTCTGGAACTGTAAGCCAGCCCCAATTATAAGAGTTGCCGTGGGCATGGTGTCTCTTCACAGCAATAGAAACCCTAACTAAGACAACCCCTTAACCTGGAATTTGAAGATAGTATGCAGAGCCCTTAAAATGCTTCCCCCATCTCATCAAACTCTTGTAAGAAACCATTTCCTAAGTAATACTAATTGGAGTTTAGTGGTCATAATTTGGGCCAGGTTCTAGCCTTCGACATTCTTAGATTTGTATCTATCCTGGTCATTTTCCTTACATGAAATATTCTCTGTCTATAATCAGGTATTTTCTGTTGGCATCCAACTTCTAGAGATGAACATTTGGTAGAAATTGCTTGTATTAATTTCTTACTTCCACTATGCTTATAGATAAGACACTCAATTTAACTTTCATAATAAGTAAAAGGTTTCTTGTTCCAAAAACAGTTTAGTATTATAAATATTTGACTGCCTGATTTCAGAACAAGATGGTAGAGATTTCGATCATCTGAAGGTCATATTCTCTAATTGGAGAAAAGAGACCAGGCTATAGAGAGAAGTGGCCTGGAAGTTACTGGTTATGCAGCTTCTACAAAATACAGATGCAGCAGTGACTCTATCTCTTCACACATATGTGTTCTGAGGACAAAACTGCCTACTTTTTCTAAAATCCATAGATAGGGTGACCATGGATCAAACAGAGAGGGGAGGAGGGATGCACTCAAGAAGGAAGCACTGGTGAAGGCAGCATGACAGTGCCCGTCTTTAATGCTAGGACTCAAGGGGCTGAAGAAGACGGAATTCTGGATTCCAGGCCAGTCTGGACTATGTAGTTAGATTCTCTGTCTCAGATGGGGGAGGCAGCATTGGTGACCAAAGCCCACTCCTATCTGGAATCAAAAAGACATCACTGAGGCTAGAGATATGGCTCAGCTGTTAAGAGCTCTAGCAGCTCTCAGAGAAACAAAGTTCAATTTCCAGCACCCACATGGTTGCTTACAACTATCTTTAACTCCAGTCCCAGGTGATCCAATGCCTTCTTCTGGTACCTTCTCAAGCACCAGGCACATACATGGTGCACAGACATACATGCAGACAAAACATCGAGGCACATAAAATACATACTTTCTTTTAAAAGAGACATCACTGGGTAGATGAAAACAGAAGTAATTCCACTCTCCTATACAGTCCAACTACCACTTTTCTCACAGACCCTGACAAGAGGCACCTGAGAAATCTTATTTTACAAGTCCTACGTTTAATATATTATATGTCCATGTCTTGTCTTCTAAGCACTGTTTCATTACATTGTATTTATTTTCAGTATATAAAAAAATATACTTTTTTATCAGTGAGGAATAAGAGTCACCTCTAAGTTCAACTGAAGAAGCTAGAGCAAGAGATTTGTCTTGGCAATAACAAACTTTTGCAGTCCCCAACACGTCCACAGCACTGACTAAAGTCCTGACTGCTCAGTGACACAGATCATGGCAATGAAAGGCCCTACACTAAGAATGTCTAACTTTCAAACCAGAGCTTCTACTACTGGGTTACCCAGTTTCCTCTCAGCACCTCTCCCACACTGGGACTGGACTGGGGAAGAGTGATGCGGCGTGTGCACAAGGATGCCCCGACGGCACAGAAAGCAGAAATCTGAGAACAAGAGCAAGCCGATTCCACCCACAGCACTGAGTCTCTGAGTGTGGCTGGCTGCTCTCAACGATAAAATCAGGATGAGACACAGTAGTGGTCTGGGTTAGGAGACGACAAGAGGAGGGAAGACAAGCAGACATGCACAGGCTGAAGTAGAAAATGCTCAGCTTTGCTTCCCTTAGCAGACAGTTCTGCCAGGCACGAAATGGCCGAGCTGGCTGCTGCAGGTACAGAAAGACTCCTGTCTTGACCAGGAAAGGATCTTTCTCTGCTCAGTCACTCTAAGTTATACGGGATATAACTTAAGCAAAGGGATGAGAGTGATATAAATTCGTACACATTTAGTACTGTGCCAAAGCCAGCTAGAGTCCTCTTGTCCCTTTAATACTCAAAATCTGATTTTTCTGTAGTCCTTATTATGTGGCAGAACCCTGACAAAGAGTTGTAGAGAGTGAGGTACGAATGGCCTTAACCTCCCTTCTTTATAAGTAGAAATTTTTAATTAAATACCAATAGTCTGCTTCTACCCTGCAGGCTGGGGTGTATCTCAGTGGACAGAGTACTTGTTTATCAAGCATGAAGCCCCGCGTTCAATCCTTAGTACCCCATAAGCCAGATGTGGTGCTGCACACCAGTAATTCTAGCCCTTGAGAAGTAGCAGCAACAGAATCAGGAGTTCAAGGTCATCCTTAATGACATAGAGAACTTGAGGCCAACTTGGGCTACATGAGACCTTGTCTCAAAAATAATGATAAATACTTAAAAATTTCTCTTCAATTGCTGCTCATTCTCAAGAATGCCAATACTCTGAGCTCAGACGCCTATTTGTGATGGTTTTGTTTTCAAACTTTTGTGCTTAAAGTAGGATTTAAAAAATGGCAAGCAAATAGTTCATTGTGTGCAAAACCATCCACCTAACCTCCACATGTTCTTCTTTGTCTGTGTGTGGCATGTGTGATGTGTATGTGAATATGGGCACAAGCATGCCACAATCAACATGTAGAGGTCAGAGGACAATTTGTGGGAGTTGGCTCCCTCCTACCATTACCTAAGGGTTCTGCAGACTGAAGCTCAGCTTGTCAGGCTTCTTATATAGCAAACACTTCTACTGGATGAGTCATCTTGACAGCCCTCCCCACAGTTTCTACTCAAAGTCCAAGGCATTAATATTCTCAAACGGAACCGCACGAGCCTAACTTCTTTTTTTTTTTAATTTTTAAACTCCCCACCCTTGTCACCCTGCCCAAAAGAAATGAGGAGGAGGAGGAGGAGGAGGAGGGTGGGGGAGGAGGAGGAGGAGGGTGGGGGAGAAGAGAAAAGGGAAAAGGGGAGAAGAGGGAGAAGGGGGAAGAAGGAGAGGAAGAGGAAGAGGAAGAAGGAGGAGGAGGGAGGAAGGAGGAGGAGAAGAAGAAGGGAGGAAGGGGGAAGGGAGAAGGGAGAAGGGAGGAGAAGGGAGAAGATGGAGGAGGAGGAGGAGGAAGGACCAGTTTGCTCTGGCCATATATTCACTGGAGCATGGTCAAACTCCCAGTGGTCAGACCCTTAAAGAAAACTGAGTTCTTTTCCACCCACACCTTATCACAATTTTTTATCTCCCAAGTGCTGGGATTAAAAGTATGTGCCACCAATGCCTGGCCTCTATAGTGAACTAGTGGCTAGCTCTGCCCTCTGATCTCCAGGCAAGCTTTATTTGTCAGAACACAAACAAAATATCACACAACACTCCTGGATGGCTTTCTGTCTAGGCTGCTACTTTTTTGAGGGAGGGAGGATAGGGGTTGTCACAGAAGCCTTCTATGTCCCTCTTCCTCAACTGTGAGTCTGCAGTCATGAATACCACTGCAAAAGTAGTTTCCTTGTCTTTTACAGACAGCAGGAACATGGATCGTGGACTTACACATGGTTTTTGGCAGCAGCACGGACCACAGACATCCACATGGTCTCCAGTGTCAGCATGTGCCATGGACCTCAACATGGTTTCTGATGGCAATACAGACCAGGGACATCAACACAGCCCCCTGCCATAGCACAGGCCATGGACACCATCATGGCCTCCTAGGCAACACAGGCCATGGACACCAATATGGTCCCTGGTGATAGCCCAGCCCATAGACATCAACATGGCCTCGGCGGCAACACAAAAAAAAAACAAACATCCGCTCAGCTTTCAGTGGTAACATGGGCCATAGACATCAACATGACCCCTGGCTGCAGGAGGACCATGGACTCAGACAGGTTTTGGTGGCATCACAGCCTACAAACATCAACATGGTTTGAGGCAGCAGCACAGACCACAGACAGTCACATAGCCTTTGGGTAACACAGGCCACAGACATCGATAGCTCCCAGCTGAGCCGAAATTCTTATAACCTACTACT